CCTCTCCAAATGCTCCCACATAGCCACGTGTATATGGCCTCTGTCAGGCAAGTCCTGGTCACTACTTTCTCGCACCAGGCGTGTCGTTTACCAAATTGAGAGAACGAAAAGAGAATGTCCGGCGCTTTAACCTGGTTGGTGGACATGGAGAGTTCACCTGAGAGAGCTGGAAAACCCTGATTCCAAACCAATGGTTCACATGAGCTCCAGTATCCTGTAGGAACAAATGGCGTATGAACCAATCGTTGGTCACTGGCTACCATGGGACTGCATTTTCTGACGTTGCTCCACTGCCTTGTGGACCAGACTTTCAGGTCGAACGCTCTGGTTGTTGCCCCCTAAGAAAACTACTTGATTTGGTTTGGACACTCGGGCAGTAACACAGCCCTCACAAATATGAAATTAGATTTGTGTGGCGCATATGTATTCGGTGCCTCCTTGTACCAATATCTATGTGTTAATATAATTCAGTGAATAAACTACTGTTAAACAACTGGATACAGAAGTATAAAAGAAAGAAGCCCATATTTTTTTTAAAGCAAGTGGACATATAAGACCATGTATAACTTTGAGATTTTAAATGTTTGCCAAAATGTATGTCAAAATTTGCAGTAAATTCTTGCAGTTATCTACTCAAGAATGTTGAATAGTTCGTTGATTTTTTTTCAAATTCTCTTGTGATTTTCTTAAGAACACCGATTAGTCAAAGTATTTTCAGTAGCTTTTAGGCATCTGGAGTTAAGTTAACTGGACCTCCTAATAAAGTGACTTTGTAATGTGAGTACAAATAGTAGTGTGATTGATAAGCAACAATTAGAATGATAACATCTTCAACAAATGATATAGACTACTACCTATAGGTATTAAGTAGCGTATAATGGCAAGACTAATTTATGGACGAGCAAATCATGGGCGTTTTAAAGATTTCATGGTTACGGCGCAAACTTCAGTGCTTAATGCTAACGTACGATCGGTTTACAGGGAATTTTGTTCAAAACGTGATAATTGAGCGGTTATAAGAAATAAAACATCGAGACTATAATTTGTGGACGAATCAGTCAGGTATAAGATAATAGATCTCGGATTTTAACGTGAAAGCATTTCATCTATTTGACTAAATAGATTTCTAGCATTGTAGCTTATGTCAGTTCATGATGAAAACCCTACATATAATTCCCAAGGCAAATTACGACAATTATTGCGAACTGGATACTAAAAGCATCAGTAACATTGGCTGCAACCAGGTACTACAATATATGCGGATGTTTGGAGAGTGTACAGATCCCTACATAGGCTTGGTTATTTACATCGTGTTGTTATCCACAAGTGGCATTTTGTGTACTCAACAATCAGAGTACACATAAACAATATTGATGCTATGTGCTCGAGGCTGAAAGAGGATTTGAGACTTTATCATTACTCCAGAGGCCGATTATTCTGTAGCCGTATGGATGATTTCTTCTACGATTTTGGAACCTCTGAACCTTTTTCTGACCTCGACAAGTTTTTGAACCACGTATAAGAAGTGTATCCATTTTATTTCTTTGGTTTTGTATAACATCTTTTTACTCTATACTGACTGTTTGCTGAGTGACTAATATTTCCGAAAGTCACTTGAGACTCGTTCAAAGATCGTCCATGAATTAGGATCTCACCGTGTGTAATAGATGAAAATCTATGCAATGAAACAAAAATAAAATCGATGGATTATTTCTTAATCAAGGAATCTTGGACGAGAGTTTTATTGTGTTATTAGTTTAACTTTTGAAGATTAACAACCTATATCCTTGAGTAACACAGTATAAGAGGGCTATTTGTCAATAACAACAGTTAAAATCCTGTAAGATAAAAAATATCATAGTGGATATGATTTAGTTTCATATATACCATTAAGACTGTCAGCTAATGAGATAGGAATATATTCACATTACATTTTGAATTATTATTCTATTATATGTCTTGCATATTTTACCAAGTGTATTGCATTTTCAGACTGATTGTGAAATAGTTTTAGTTACAACCGGAATACGATCATTAGTTATGAATTTCACAAATTAATAGAAATATGGTGATGAGTATTACTTATTTCGACTGTCATAAGTAGTATGTAACACTAGCCACATGTGAAATGCCTAACAGTAGATGATTAAAAAGATCGAACTGAACAGAACAGAAAGAGAAACAAAGAGGAATTGAAATAAAAACAACATTGAAAGAATCATGAAGTATGTAAAAGGACAACTGATGGAATATACGTAAATGCATGAGTGTACACTCACGACAACAGTAGTACTGATGGTATATAGCGAAGCTATTTCTTTATTAATATTTGATCCTTAATTGATTTCAATTAAAATACATACCCCCCCCCACATTTCATTTCATCAACATTCATTAACATTATATCATTTCTTATAATGTAAATTCGAATACAGATTTTAAGCATTCATATATGAGCAGAAAACATGAAGAGTATAGTACGTGTATATGGAACTTGACCTTTGGGTAAGGTCTCTGAATAACAAATGACTCAATATTTATAGTCAAATAATAATGTATACCATACAAGAACACATACACCTCAACAACGGGTACATTCGAAGTACTACATACTCACTTTCATGAAAATAACTAGAATAGGTCTCCAGTGATAATCCTAAGAACATATATTTGCTTAGATGCTCACAAAATACATAACCTTATTAAAACGACATTGTACTGGCTTAGCTTCGTTAATCAATCACCTTGATAACCATCGTTATATACATCTCAGTTCTGTATGAAACCAGACGGCAGTAATAAGTGACAACTATAATTTATTAGCAGATAGCATAGACAACAAAATTATAAACATATTAAACGAATTGGAAGCAGAGAGGTGAATATATGTGTATGCGAGTAAATACAAAGGCGAATTTATAGTCAAATGGAATAAGATGCAGCTAATCAAGGTAAAGGTTAATCATAGGATTCTAGTACATATATACATAGGAAGAAGAATGATTCATCGAGCGATATTTAAGCGATTAACATTTTAGTTACATAGAGCTATATATGCATAGGTTGTCACATGTGGATCAAGTGTATACATTTATACGGACAAATACAAAGAAATAGACGAATTGTTACTGCTGGAACAACGTTGTCTGTTAAGGTTAGTTAACAAAAAGGGATTAACCAGAATTTAATCATAATCAAAATTGATTGTAGGAGAGTGGCTTTAACACATTAGCTGGTTAAACAAAACGTCGGCTGGATAGAAGATATAAATTGTTACTTGTGCTGACCTCCTCGACTATACTTATTATCAGTGTCAATGATATAATATACAGTAATGTTTGGATTATTGAATGAAATCTAAACAAAAGATGCATTGATTCATAATAAGAATATGACTTCATGTTATGTTATGATAATCTATTTCTAACATTAAGCAAAATCATACATAAATTTAAACTCTGTACACAATTTCCCATGAATTTCCTTTTTAAAATATGTACATCATTTTTACATTGTAAAACCTTTCGAAAACTAGTTTTTGCTTGTTTTTGCTTGTCTTTCATGTTTAAGTTACCGTAATGCTCCATTGATTAGTTAATATAGTGCACATGTACGTAATTTGTCCAGGAGCTCCTCTGGGGCTACTTTCGATCTCAAGCCCGGAGAAAGGAGAAGGGTTAAGCATGGGTTAGTGATCCCAACCCGTAGAAAAATAACTCGCTAAAAAATGGTCCACGGATGAACTCGAGGAAGTCCTAAGAAACTCAGAAGGAGTCGAAGATATTTCATCCAATCATCATTTGGAAGAATATTCCGAAATCCCTACGTGTAGCTTTTCTATTCAACTAATGCTGATAATTCCCTGTATGTGGATTGGATAACTATGATGATGATTTCGTTTTTACTAAAAACTATAAATACCTAACAGTTCTGTACCATAAATGGCACTGTTTGGAATAACGTTCGTTCCATTTGTCTTCTGTGTTCTCATTCGCAACTTAGGAGGGTTCTAGCATTCGAGTGCTGAAGTTATACGTGGCATATTAAGAATCTGAACTCTAGATATAACAATTAGCATATGTGGTCCTTATATGATTGCACTTGAGTGTTAATGAAATTAATGATACAATATAACTAAGATGTCAATGGTATCACTTAGAAACAAATTCATTACTTTCAACGTTGACAACTTACACAACAAGCACAAAAATTCAATAATAGTATTAAGAATATGTACTTATAGTTGTTTGTATTTAAGATTAAACTGATCAGTTCGATTCCCAGAAAAACTCTCAATACTTTATTTTAACTCTCTATATACCTGATTAACAAGTTTGAATTGAAATGAAATTTCTGTACTAGGACCACACTATTATCATTCAACACTTCATATACAATCTTTTACAGTATAAACCTATTTCACTATTTCAGTTATTTATATATATCAAATAGGTTCGAATTATTTTTATGGTTAGCGTTTTTCTAGTTAGTTAGTTGGGTTCGCTAACCTCATGCCCAACCCTTCTCCTTTATCCGGGCTTGGGACCGACAGTAGCCCAAGAGAGGGGGTCCAGGGGGAGTGTTTAGATCAGTTGGCCAGACACTATCACTAACAGCCTACTGTGAGAGAGAACAAGCTAAATTTCAGCGGAGGAAGAAACCAGGAAGAACCACTGCAATTGGATAGGACACACGCTGAGGAAAGCACCCAACAGCATTACAAGGCAAGCCCTTACGTGGAATCCTCAAGGCCAAACGGGGTGAAGAGGAAGACCAAAGAACATATTACGGCGAGAAATGAAGATAGACATGAGAAGAATGATTAAAAATTGGATAGAACTAGAAACGATGGCTCAGGACAGAGTGGGTTGTAGAATGCTGATCGACAGCCTACTCTCCATTGGGATTAACAGGTGTAAGTAAGTAAGTAAATTATATCCATCTAAATGCAAACACGAGCAACTTATTACATAAGAATATAAAATCCCTCTTTTTATAGAAGAATATTAAATTATTATTTTATATAGACATATTATACAATTCATCATAAATCATAGAATAGAACCAGTATCATTATAGTCTTTTATAAATTTTCTAAATGAAAAATTTAATCTCTCTACATAATTTATTTTTTAAAGCTTATTTATACTACTAACAAAATGAAGCAGTAGTATAAATGTTAAACCAAAAAAAGTATGGTAAGAATACAGTGATAGGTTAAAACATATGTAGATATAGATATGTAAATATTGATTAACGTTCTATATTAGAAAACTGACGTGGTGCAGGACGATTGGAATAATTCACTTTTGGCATTGGTCTTGTTGTTTGTTGTTGTCCTTGTTTATTATCTAAAATTACATTCGATATTGATCGATGATTATCTTTACGATCTATTTGTTCTTGTAATATATTTTCTAATTGATTAATACGTTGATCAGCTTCTCCATAAACTTGTTGAAGTTCTTGAATTCTTTTAATTGATTGTTTGCTTTTAATGAATACTGTTTCTGAAATTTTAAAAAAGAAAATAATAGTTCACTTTAAAACAAGTTCATTCCGCCTGGAGCCCCTTTTGGGGTTATTGTCGATCCCAAGCCTGGATAAAGGAGGAGGGTTGGGTATGGGGTTACTGACCCTATCCCGTAGAAAACTAAGTTGCTAATAAAATGCTAACCAGAAAAAATAAAAATGTTTAAAACAAAATTATATCATAAGTACTGAAGTGATATTGAATATGGGCAATATTATTATGGTAAGATCTTGTAGTGTCGGTTATTATGTTAAGCCCATATACCTTATTCTAGTTTCGGACAGCCCATTCTATTCATTCAATTTGAGTCACATTCTGACCTTGTTAATTATTTGCTTATCAATCTTCACTGTTTTTACATGAGCGCGTAGTTGTGTTTAGATTTCTTATCCCATTACTCATCGCATGTCTGTAACTTACTTTTGTGTAACCATAAATGCTGATTAACGCTTGATTAAAAGGGAGTTTGCTTACCAGCCATCTCCACTCTGCGTCGTTTCGCTTCTCTCTATTCCATTCACCTCATATATGTATTCACAAGTCCATTCTCGTTATTCGACTTATTTAATTCCTTTATTGACTAACACAATTAAAGTCAGTGATTATATGCGAGGATAGGTGATAACAAACATTCATACGATCTAATTGGAGTCAGATCCATGGGCCACTAAAGTGGAGAGCCCTTTCGACAACATCATCAGACCTAAACGACAACAAAAATAACGGGCCTCCACAAAAATCTCATTTGCTTTATCAAAAATATTGATTTGAGCCTAAGATTATCTTTTTTTGCCACTCATCAATTTCAACCTGGAAACTTTTGAAAATAAAGAAGCATATGACATTTGTTTCGTCTTAATGCTAGACTTTATATTCATGAATTAACCATTGGTCTAACCCATCCTTCTTTAGAGTTCTTTGATAAGTTCCATATTTGTAGATCACTGTAATGAATAAGTCATTAGATGCTTCATTGAAATGAACTGCTGACAGTTAAAACATTCGGATGAATCTGTCTTTAAAGAATCGTTTCTCAGATTAGATCAATCCAAGTCAAAAATCAGCATACAATCGAACAAATCTCTAAGATTAACCAATTAAAAATCAATCACACACCTACTTATCTTAGAATTATACTGTGAAATGGTGACTAATTGAATTCAATCACCTAGACACATTGTATGATTATTATGCTGTGCTACAAATTAATCGAAGATAAAATTATGGTTTTGAAGTAACACACTCAATGTTGGATACAAAAGGCCTGATTTCGATCTTTGCCAAAGTTGTGTTGGTTCACTGATTTAGAGACTTGTAATACAACGAAAAAGTTTTCTTGTGCTTTCTATTTTTGGAATAGATTCACAGCCGAAGAGAATCGTTTCAACTTTACGATTGAATGAATGAATAAATCTTTGATAAAATACCGAATAAGTTTAAAGTATAGTGTTATTGAATAAATCCATAGTTTGATGTGACAAGTCTGTAAGCGATAAAGTGCGTTTGAAAGTTATTCAACAGTGGAGCTAATCCGTATAGGGTTGAGACAGATATTTACCACAGTACAATGGAAGATGGTTGCGCAATTTCGTGGATTGTTTGAGGTTAGACATTAAAACTGTTGAATGCCAGCTTAGTAGTCTAGATGCTAAGCGTTCACGCGTAAGACTGATGGCGCTGGGTTCGAATCCCGTGGGCAGGAGTATGGATGTGCACTGCTAAGGAATCTCACAATTGGATGAAACGTCCATCCAGTACTTATAGGTTTTTAATGATGGTCTAAAATCGATCGGTTCATGATGTCAATCGATAACTTAATAATCTCCATAACCCCATACTGATGAGATATATTATTTCATAGTAAGAGATTTTGTATCCCTTGATAAGTGATAGAAACATTTCTGAAGTAGAAAAAAATTGTATCTTTTATGTTTGTTGATTGATTAGGTTGTCATGACAATTTTTAGACTGAGTTAAAGGATTAAGACAATACGATGAGATGAACCTTATCAGTACTATGAATTGTAAGAAAATGTTCATTTCAATTCTATAATATTAAATAGGTAGTAGTAATACTCCTTAAACTATCTTTGATTTGATATACTTTCAATGGTGTAAGCATTATTTGTAGAAATTGCACTATCAAAGAACCCTAATTCCAATAAGCATAACTGCAATAATTCAATGTTAATTTATATGTATTACTAAGTATTCTGCTAGATGTAATGCCTGGATTCTGAAATTACAGAATAAGATTGATTAAATGACGAATTAATTGGAAACAAAATTGTATTTTTAATGTCTTGATGAGAATATTTAATAGATCTTCATTTTTAGCATTGAGTTATATTGATTGGAATTTTTATTGACAGGACAGTATTAACATGCTCTGGTACGGCCGACGGTGGGGAGAGTTAAATCTTCCTCTCGAAACGCTCTCACATGGCCACGCATATATAGCCTCTGCCAGGGAAGTCCTGATCACTGCTTTCTCGCACCAGTGATGTTGTTTACGAAATTGCGAGGAAGAAAAGCGAATATTTGATGCTTTAACCAGGTTAGTAGATATGGAGAGTTTACCTAGGGGAATTGGAAAACCCTGATTTCAAACCACTGGTGCATATGGGCTCCAGTATCCTGAAGAAAAAAATGGCGTATGAACCTATTTTTGGTCACTGGTTATCATGGGACTGTATCTCTTGACGTTGCTCCACAGCCTTGTGGATTAGACCTTTAGGTTAAAGGCTTCAGGTATGGCCCTCTAAAAAAGCACTTGCTTCGGTCTTGGCACCCGAGCAGTTTTCTTTATTCTATGAAGGAATTAAGTTGAAAGATCGGTCCATTTAACAAACTCATTACAAATGTAAATGATAGCTATTTATCTTCATTAAAAACTAAAATAACACATTGATGTTTGTACAATAAATGACTAATTGTTCAAAAAAAGAAAAAGGAATACACCAACTTAATAATGATTATGCCTAGTCCATCAATTTAAGTGGCTGTTTTCCATTTACTGAAATGATATCAAGTTTAATACAACACTACTACTACTCTTATCACATGTTATTATTATATCTAATTTCCTTAAAATGAATATTTTTGATGAGCTGAATGATTTGGTCGTGGAGTTTTCATCAGTACAAATTTCAGATAGAAGTGAATTGTTCGAATTGGAGATATAACCAAAACGAAGAAGTAAACAATAATAGGTTTAAGGTCAACAACAACCAATCAACATCAAGGTCTACAGGACAAGCTGTGAATCACAAATAGAGAAATTCAAACATTCACAGTTGATTGATTACTGAATGGTGATCAATGTCATATGTGTCAAGTCTTCATTAGTGACACGGGATCAAATCTTTCAGGGAGCACCAGTTCCCTTAAGATTACAGGTAAACCTTGTTAACCAGTGCCAAGTAGTACGAAACCTGGGTCTAGGGTTTCCTATTGATTACCTCCAACCACCATCTAAAATTTGAACACTTCACGGCTAGACTCTAATCTATGGACGACCCGTGAACAAATCTCAAGTGACTTGGGGAACTATTAGCCAATCAGCAAACAGTAAGTATAGAGTAAAAATATGTTATACAAAACCAGGGAAATAAAGTGGATACACTTCTTATACATGGTTCAAAAAATTATCAGGGTTAGAAGGAGGTTCAGAGGTTCCAAAATCGCAGTGCATGCAGTAAAGGAAATCATTCATACGGCTACAGAATAATCGGCCTCTGGAGTCATGATAAAGTCTCAAAAAATCTTACAGCCTCGACCAAATAACTTCAACATTGTTTATGTGTACTCCGGTTGTTGGATGCACAAAATGCTACTTTTGGACAACAACACGATGCACATAACCAAGTCTATGTATGAGTCTGTACGCTCTCCAATCATCCGTATATATTGTAGTACCTGGCTGCAGCCAATGTTACTGGTGCTTTTAGTATCCAGTTCGCAATAATTGTCGTAATTTGCCTTAGTTAGGAATTATATACGCGGTTTTCATCATGAACTGACATCAGCTACAATGCCAGAAATCTATTTAGTCAAATAGGTGAAATGCTTTCACGTTGGAATCAGAGATCTAATATCTTATACCTGATTGATTCGTCCACAAATTTTAATCTCGGTGTTTTATTTGTTATAGCCACTCAATTATCACGTTTTGTACAAAATTCCCTGTGAACCGATCGTACGTTAGCATTAAGCACTGAAGTTGGCGCTGTAGCCTTGAAATCTCTCCATAAATTAGAATCTCCCCCACTTCACTTCTATCTGAAGTTTGCGCTGACGATTAAAAATCTTCACAACCAAACTATGTAGATTCGAGAATAAAACTTCATCTAAATCATCCATTTGAGCTATAAATCTTCTTCTTTATCTCAACAGATTCATTCATCATCATCATCATCATCATCATTTAAATATGTAACTATATAGAGAAATTTCACACAAATAATAATAATATACACCTATATTCATTTCATGTTTAACTCTAGGTGTATTCTAACATTCTTTGTGTTTCTGGTTGACCTGTTAAAACACGATTTATAATTCTCTTTGACAAATTCATTCTATTGCATAAACACTAGATATACATTTATATGTAAGTATATCAAAATGCACAGATATACCATAGTTTACATTAGAAAGTAAGTGACTTGTTAAACAAAATCTATAAACATTGAATAAATTACTTAAATGATAAGAAATATATATGAAAAAGTGTAAAGTGATTTTCAGCAGAATAAAAACTTGTATTCCTAATTGTATGTATTGATAAACTGTGGTGCGTGCTACTTATATTGATATAAGTAGTATATGACGCGAGTCAAGAATGTTATGTCTGGCGGCAGAAGATGGGGGAAGATCAAAAAAGGAAGAGCGGGAATAAAAAGCAGTTAGTATGAAAATGCAAGAACAATGAAGTCCGAGACAACTATTGAACATTCTGCAAATTAAGTATTATAG